AAAAAATGTCAACAAAGGGGTACAATAAAGTGCAAGTTTCAAGTGTCTGTAAAATAGCGGTGATTTTTTACAGTTTTTTTGGTGATAGTGCTGCGCTTTTTCGCAGATTCAGTAGCAGAATTTGAATCTGACTACAACTCTTTGCAGCCATCAGAGCACACAAAGCACTCCTTAGCTTTCCAAAAGGAGGAATTAAAGGCTCTGTGGGAAAAGGTAAAGGGGTCTTATGAGGAACTTTGCGCATCAAAAGAGCTCGAAACCAAAGACCTACCATCGGTTAAAAATAAGTATAAAAGCACCTACTTCAGTTTTTTGCGGTGCCAAGCAGCAATGACTGATCTTTCAGAGCAACTCGCAAAGACTGAAAAGGAAAGCGAATACAAGTCAGGTCGCGAGCTTAATATTCATCTCCCCCCTTGCGACACAGACGTTTTTAAAGGAGATTATCTTTCGTGGCCATCGTTTAGGGACATGTTTACGGCTATATATATTCTCAATAAGCGCCTTACCCCACGTGAGAAGCTGTATCACCTCCGGCAAAAGCCTCAAAGGGAGGCCAAGGAAATAGTGCAGAGATCTCCATTTACCAACGATGGCTTCGGTGCAGCCTGGAAAAATCTTTGTGACAGGTACGAAAATAAACGTATCCTCGTCAACGTTCAGTTAAAGGTATTGTTTAATTTAAACGCAGTTGAGAGTGAATGCGGTAGCTCTATCAAGAAACTGCAACGCGACATAAATAATTGCATCTCGTCGCTTCAGTGTCATCAGATTGATGTTTCTAATTGGGATGCAATATTCACATATTTGTGTTCGAGAAAATTGCCAGAAACGACACTGGCACTATGGGAGCAAACCATAGAAAATAAAACTGAGATTTCCAAATGGGTAGATATGGATAAATTCCTATCCAATCGGTTTCAAACACTGGAAACCGTCACAGGTCTTAGGGGAGATATAGCTTCGAAACCTAAACCACCAAGCTCTCGAACTTCTACAGAGACGCCTGCAAAAAAGCTTGGCGCCTTTCAAGCCAGTGTAGCAAAAGCAACATGTAAAATGTGCAACAGCAATGCACACAAGCTATCAAAGTGCGACAGATTTTTGCGTCTAAAGCCGACGGAGCGAGTAGATTACGTGAAGAGCATTCGCAGTTGCTTGAATTGTTTATCTGCTGTTTGTTAGGAACAGCACGCGTAAACATACACTATAATGGTATACATTTTTCCGCTAGAGCGCTTATAGATTCTGGTTCTCAGTGCTCGTTCATTACTGAGAGACTCAAACGGAGAGTCAACCTGCCATCAAAACGCTTGCATGCCCAAGTTTCGGGCATCAATAACTCCGTATCTGCGCAGGTAAAAGAAGCGTGTGCTATTCAACTTCGGTCACCCACAGATCCGTTAATTAATATAGAAGCAATCGTGCTGGTTTTACAGCAATTAACCGGGGATCTTCCGACTTGTCAGATCAGCGCAATGACGCGGCAATCGTTCCCAGACTTGGTCTTGGCGGACAAAAGATTCTTCGTCAATGAGCCAGTTGACCTTGTCTTAGGAGGAGATATTTACCCGCAAATAATATTAAGCGGAATGAGGAAGAACGTATTAAATACGCTTCTCGCGCAAGAGACCGTGTTCGGTTGGATACTGACTGGTCGCGCGGATTCAGTCAGTCCAACCAACAATATCGTATCGTATTTTAACGAAGTCACGTTGGACAAGCAGCTAGCTGCATTTTGGGAGCTGGAGGATGTCCCAAAGAAAAAAGGCATCAACGAAGATGATAAATACTGCGAAGAGCTCTTCAAAGCAACTACGACACGAAATACAGATGGAAAATACATTGTGTCTCTACCTTTTAAACGGGATTTTCCGAAAAATGTGTGCTTAGGACCTACGCTGAAAAGTGAATGCTCTCAGTTCTACCGGAACGAGACGCGACTAGCGAAAAAGCCTGTTCTACAAACAGAGTACAACCGGGTAGTATCTGAATACGAGACACTAGCACATATGTCAAAAATTAATAAAAACATTTCACCAGACTCAACGGACTGCTATTTTTTACCGCACCACGCCGTTTTAAAGGAAGAAAGCACCACTACAAAGGTCAGGGTTGTATTCAACGCATCATATGTCAAAAAGTAATAAAATCATTTCACCAGACTCAACGGACTGCTATTTTTTACCGCACCACGCCGTTTTAAAGGAAGAAAGCACCACTACAAAGGTCAGGGTTGTATTCAACGCATCATGCCCAACCGCTAATGGCATGAGTTTGAATGATGTCCTTCTTCCAGACCCAGTACTTCAGGCCGATTTACCTATTCTTATACTACGTTGGAGACTGTACAAATACGTATTCAACAGCGATATAGAAAAGATGTATCGACAAATTTGGATAAATCAAAATCAAACAAAATATCAGCGAATAGTTTTTCGTAGTTGCCCAAAAGATCCGATCAGTTTGTACGAATTAAAAACCGTGACTTTTGGCATACACTGTGCTCCTTACCTTGCGATAAGGATATTACACCAGCTTGCTGATGATGTGGAGAGCTCTCATCCAATCGCATCTGACATTTTGCGGAAATGTATGTATGTTGACGACGTACTCGCCGGGGGACATAGCGTCAAAGCTGCGATAAGAGCTCGAGAAGAGATATCACAGGTGCTAAATGCAGCCGGGTTTCCATTACGAAAATGGACTTCAAACTCTAGCAAAATACTTTAAGGAATACCAAAAGGTCATTTACTTAGTGAAGATTTCTTAGAGTTTGAAGATACCAGTGCAGTAAAGGCTTTGGGCATTAGATGGAAAGCCCATTCCGATTACTTCTACTTTATAGCGAAATCAATTGAAAATAGTAGCATTATTACAAAGAGGGCAATACTTTCAGCCATCGCCAAACTGTTCGATCCACTGGGTTGGCTTGCACCGGTTATAATCGTCGCCAAGATCATTATGCAGAATATTTCGTTAGAAGGAACAGGTTGGGACGAAACCGTATCTCCAAATACCTGGGATCGTTGGCAAGCATTTGCGCATGATTATGCGGAATTAAACAACATCCGCATACCAAGATGGGTATATTTCACGCAAACCGATAATGTGGAAATACATGGTTTTAGCGATGCTTCGGAAAAGGCATACGCGGCGACAGTTTTTCTAAGGGTTCAGACTGAGGATAAAGTTTTCGTCAACCTACTTATGGCAAAAACAAGGGTAGCGCCGGTCAAAACAATATCTTTGCCCCGATTGGAGTTGTGTGGTGCAGTGTTACTGGCCGAAACAATTGAAACTGACGTTGAAAACCTTAGCCTTGCTCATTTGAAGGTGAATTTGTGGACGGATTCAACGATAGTTTTAGCTTGGATTCGAAAACCTCCGTGTTCGTGGTCAACATTTGTTGCCCACAGGATAACAAAGCTAGTAGATAAGGTAGGAAACAAAAATTGGCGCCACGTGGATTCGCCTCAAACCCAGCGGATCTAGCCAGCAGAGGACTCTCGGCGAGTGATCTAGTCAACAACTCCTGGTGGTGGCAGGGTCCTTCTTGGTTACAAGAAGACTATTCGAGATGGCCAGCACAAGAATCGGACTATGACACAACCATTGAAGGAAAAAGGGTACATGTTCATGCAACAACAAAAGTAAACGACTCTCACGACATTCTCGATCGGTTTTCTGATTTGTCATGGGTTTTAAGAGTTATATCTTATATTATGAGATTCTATCAAAGAATCAATCCCAAAACCAAATCTTCCTTTAAAGCGGAGTCCCGTTCAATTTCGTCCAACGAAATTAAAACAACGACCCAACGCTTAATAACAATTTGTCAAAAACAATATTACAGCGAAGAATATATAAGTTAAAATCTGGAAAATACATCGACGGAAAAAGTTAAATCCTGCCTCTTAACCCGTTCATCGACAAAGATGAGATTCTGAGGGCTGGTGGTCGTCTGAGCGCATCTTGCGATCTGTCCTACAATGAACGTCATCCTATAATTCTTCCGTATGGTTGTAGGTTGTCCCGTCTCTTTGTCCAGTTTATCCATTAAATTTCCGTGCACGGAGAAAACCAGCTGATGCTGCGACTCATCCGATCGCATTATTGGATTCCCAGGGTGAAAAACTTGATGCGGTCCGTCATACATAACTGCAAGGTCTGCACGATCCACAAGAAACAGTCGCAAACTCAACTTATGGGAATCCTTCCCAAAGAACGCAAAACCTTTTCCCGTGCATACACAAACACGGGGGTGGATTTCGCCGGCCCGTTCTACATCAAGTCTTACCGGGGCAGAGGATGTCGCATGTCAAAAGGCTACGTGTGTCTTTTCGTCTGCTTCTCGACGAAAGCCATTCACCTTGAAGCTACCAGCGACCTTAACACCGCGTCCTTTCTAGCCGCTTTCGCAAGATTTGTTGCTAGACGAGGATGTCCAAAAAATGTTTACTCGGACAATGGTTGATTACACGGGGGCGATTGGGACTTACGCTCCGGTGCAAGTATGATAAAAAGAAATAAAGAGAACCAAGATATTTGGATGTTAATGGTGAATTCAATAGAGTCGATTTATTTCAGTATAGATATATATATATATAAATGTCGAATAATACAATATTTGAATACCTTTGGACGGGAGTGGCTTGGTAGCTGGTCTGCTCGGGTTGATCTTCTGAACCGAAGTGAAAGAAAAACTTTACGGGACCTTTAATCGGACCGCCGGACAATAACTGAGTTAAGGGGAAACTTGACGAGAGTTCATTATCCGGCGGGATATTAAAATTAACCGTGCATACTACCCCATGTTCGCATGCATGTATCTGTGTATGCACATTAACATATAATATATATTATATGTTTACACAGACACTTATGCACGTACATATGCTGGCATTAGGGGGGTGCGTAAATAGTAATATTTAGGCTGAAGGCCTAAACATACCGGCCCCCTTGCGATAAGCAACATCTGGAAAATGATTTGTTACGATGCAGCTACCAGGCTCATCTGAGTCCGTTTACAATTTCAGTCATTTTTATTGTTTGCTCAAAACTGCAAAACAAAATATCTCCGGTGACCAGTGCGTTAATGTCCGTTCTTCTTCCTACTGCTGGGAGATGAGAGAGAGAGAAATAAAGGTACAGACGTGGTCATAATTCAATGCACTTTTATTTAGAAATAAAAACTAAAATAAACGTATACAAAAATTCATTATAAGCAAGATTAAGAAAAAAAGATGTTATTGAAGAGTTATTTATATATTTTTTTTTTTTTAATTAGGCGCGGTAGGCGCCCGAGAGTACCCAACCAAATATTGTACTTTGGGCCAACAAGGGTCCAAAGGACGTCGGCAGACTACCGGGCATAATAATATCGGCGTACACGTCCGCGCCGAGCACGATTCGAATTGGAGATGACTCGAAGAAATTCGGGTCGGCGAGTCTGATGTGCACATAAATGGGTAAATTTTTTTTACGATCCGTTGCTATCGTGAACCATCTATTTAAATATTGTTGGGTGGCGAGTAATTGGGGTGGAAATTGTCTAATACTTGACATAAGTTACTTCCTTTATTAGATAAATAAGATTTGGTAAGTGGGAACATGGCATCATGTTCAATTATTTGTATTTCACAAACTAACACGTGTAACTATGGCCTAATGTCGGCTTGCGACCCACAAAAATGAAGGGTGGATCGCACAAGTGCCATACCTTCCATTATGCAGGAATGCATTGGCAAAGTTAAATTTTTATTACATCGAAAAGTGTTAATTGCCTTTATGATGTTTGGCAATGCCAATATTAAGTGCTCTTAAGAAAAAGATCATTTTCGTTGATGACTTGATCTACTAATATTCGTAATTAGCAGTTCAACTTCATTGCATGAAGTTGTCGAAAAACGTATTACTCTACATTTGGAGAGATTTAGCCATTCTCGCAACCCTACAACTAGCCTGCCACCCAAAAAAAGGTTTGGATGCCATTGTAGGTGATACTCGGCCAAAAAACAGGGTAGCTCATATGCAGCAGAATACATAAGTTTAATTTCAATTTTTATTACAAAATGTCTTATTCCCTTTTGAATTTTACATAAAAAGTATGTGAAATATTTATAAAAAGTTAGTGCATTGGTATGTGCTTATGACAATGCATCTTTTAGTAGTTAAAAGTGTATTTGTTTTAGTACAACCAGCGAGTGAAATTGAATTACGAAACGCTTCTGTACTTCGAACCGATATCACTGTTCGGACTTAATTCGTAAACTGCAGTGAATTTAAAAATATAACGCAGTAAAACGAATTTTAACTGCCGTGGATTCTAGATTTTTACATTTTTATACCAACCATAAAATATATTCTACGTATGTATCTATATTTTATAACTATATGCTTTGTTGCAGAAACATCTTTACTGACTCAAAATATATTGTAATAATTCAAGTTGTGGTAAAAAATTCAAGAGTTGAAAACCGCAGTAGAAAAATCAATTTCGCTAAAAAGTGTAGTAGATTTACTGCTATTGCAGTGAGTTCCGAATGCTGACCGACATACTACCAGAGAACTTAGATAGATAGAGAAGGTGCAAACTGAAAGTGGAAACTGTTCGCGGACGAAAAATTAACAGCGTTAGAAAAGTCCAAGTCGGAATGTAAAAATTCTGTTGAATTTAATGTTGATAACATAATACAATGTTGAGCAACATGAAATGTGATGTTCTTTGCGAGCAAATAAACGAAAATTTGGTAAATCTTCACATAATTTTCATTAATTTGTAATTTTTGTTAAATTTTTTATCTTGTTCTCCTTTTATGAAGATGCAAATACAATTTAAAATAATGATAGTTTGGCATAAAGTTTACACACATATGTACATGCATACATATACTGGCAATCAAAAGTGAGTGCATGGTGTTTTTTGCTTAATATTTGCAATGTTTTTCAATTAATTTTTTTTATTATCTTTTTATAAAAATGTGGTTCATGCTTTAATCAAAACTATACAAGTCAAACTTTCAAACTTTACACAGAACATAGAAAAATTCAACGAATTCTCGTCTAAATTTTGACCTGTTTAATCTGAGTTTTTAGAAAAATTTTGAGTACGCAGATAGATCGGTTTTTTAATTCTAGTGGAACAAGATCAAGTTATAAGGGGCTAAAAAATCCGGTTGATTTTTAATGATTATTTATTGCTGACGGCTTTTTGCACTTTTTACCAAATAAAAGTGAATTTCTTGTAGAATAAAATGCGCATGACCGTTTGCAAACAAATAAAAAAAAATTATCGCTATTTTTTACAAATTGCACTTGCTATATGCAAAACCGCAATTCCCGTCGAAAATAACATAAAAGTTTAACTTAAAAACATTGCAAATATTAAACAAAAAACAGGATGCACTCACTTTGCCAGTGTACATACATACATATTTGTGTTTAAAATTAACTAATTATGAAATAATTTTTGTGGCCCGAACATATACATACTTGCGCTTTCTAAAAATGGGAATAAAAATTGGATTCGCATAAAATTTTAATTCCAATAACTAATATTTTAGTGAAAATATTTACAATAAAGCTTTCAGTAACTTTTGGCAAATTTGAGCGATTATGTGAAATTATGCATGCGTTTGTACCTACATATCCATTTACATATATTATTTTAAACAAAGCTAATAGTAAAATTTAAAATGCCATATTCCATTATGACAATTAAAACCATTTGAACCAAGACAAACGGCGAGACGCCAAAAGGTTGCATCGCCTCTAGCGTACACGCCACGGCACATTACTGAAACAGCAATCTCTAAATCACTACATATGTATATGAAATTTTTCATTCGTCCAAGAAGACAAACGCATAAATATGTGTGCATTTATAAATGTAAATATGTGCATAAATATGTACGATTGTTCTGCTTTCGTCTTCCCCTCGCCGTCATCCAACAACAGACAAATTATTAAATTTCTGCGAATTGCCACGACGCCACCAAAATTAACCCTTGGTTGACGAAATATTTAGGTTTTCGCATAAGTTTACATTTAATAAAGCCATACTCGTACATTTTATATGGAGAAGAATATTAATTAATTTAAAATTCTGCATGTAACCATGTTCTCGACGATATATGTAACTTTTATCAAGACTAACCATAAAAATTGTGCTTCATTAACAGTTGGAACCAGCTGAAACCAAAAAAACTATGTCCGCTAAAATGGGTTAAAAACCAACTGGAATTGACATTTTTTACACGCATACATGCATACATTCATATACACATGTACAGTGGAGTAGCACTAGCTTGCATTGCATTGCTTGTACTTTGATGTGTTTGAATCTTTTATGGTACTGAAGATTTGCTTACGGATGAAAAATATTAAAAATCGTCAGTGCATATATGTAAATATACTTTTATAAACGCTTTGAAGTATAGAAATTTTTAATATTAAAAAATAAATAAAATAATTTTTTTGTATATATGTAAATGGTGTTCAAGGCACATTGACCCACCTGTACAAAAATCGTGGCGCGTCATGGACAAAAATTTTACAATTTCGGACCGAAAAATGTGAAAACGAGCTAAGTTGCCACGTTACATTTGTGAACTTCCGATAAAACCACATATGTTTGTGATTTTAGAAGTTTTGATTTTATTAAAAAAAACTTAATGTAAGCTAAGTGAAAGTTTTGTGATTTTTGTGGTTTTTATTAATTTAATTAAATTTCACTAGCTTACATCTAATCTTGCCGAGTCATTTGTTGTTATCATTGTTGTTGTTATTCCTTTGTAGTTAACTGAGATCGTTTCTATTTTTGCACATTTCTTTTTGCTCTTTTTGTTTACTTCGTTTAGTATTTCTTGTCACAGCTGTTTGCGCTGCGTTTATTAAGTGTCACATTACAGTGATACTCAAACTGTTCGCTACATATATTTTTAAGCTAAATACATCAGCTCCTGAATTGTTGTGTGTGTTGTGTTAAACTTATTTTGCTTGTCTTTTTATTAACATAAGTGTTATAAATCTTTCAATATGAAGTGTGATCTTGATAACTGCCAAATCAAAAGCGAATCTGAACGCTACTTATCGTGCTGGCTCTGTGATGGTATTTGCCATCTAAAATGTGCTGGTTTGACAGGAAGAATTCTGGACGCTATTAATGATGGCAAAGGTCTTCGCTGGTCTTGCTTAAAGTGCAGGTCAACCGAAGTTGATCTCTTTAAGTTGTTTAGGCAAACCAGAAATGGGTTTTCTGAGGTAGGGAGAGAGTTGTCGGTACTGACCGAAAAATTTAAACATTACGAAAATGTATTTAAATCTTTTAAATGTTTAGATACCGTACAATCTATGAAGGACATTCGTGTGTCAAAACGTAAGCGTCTTCATAGTCCGCCTAATGAAAGGACCGTTCCGCGTCAGAACACTCTTCCGAATGACTTAATTAACCTTTCTTCTCCATGTCCACAGACAACGGAGTTATCTTCCTCAAAAGAACATATATCAAAGTCTGCTTCCAATAATAACGACCCTGCAGTATCTTCCCCGTCCCCCGTTGAAGTTGTGGCACCGCCATCCAATCTTCCAACGCTTACTCTACCCTCAACTAGTAACTCAGTTACTCAACCCCGTCCGCCGGTAATCGAGTCTGATACTAGGAGACTGGTTGTGGTTCCCCCAAAGAAGTCTATATTTGTATCTAGATTTTCGAGGGATATTTCCGAGGACGATATAAAGTTTTACATCTCGTCCAAAGTTAAAACTGTCAACTTAAGTATCAGAAAATTTAATTTTAAATATGAAAGAAATATTTCTTCATTTAAAATAGACGTAAATTTAGAAAATTTTGACATGCTGCTTAGTAGTTCTTTTTGACCCTCCGGAGCTTTCGTTCGTGAATTTGAGTATAGGCCCAACAAAAATAATAATTTAGCAAATATTCCCCGTCAGAATACAGAACCAAAAAACTGATTACTAAATCTGCTTTAAGTATTTATTATCAAAACGTAAGAGGCATAAATACTAAATTAACGAATTTATATCTTAATGGCCTTGAATGCAATTATAATATAATTTCTTTGACTGAAACTTGGCTCAAACCTCACACTTTTAATTCAGAGATTCTTTCAAATAATTATCATATCTACAGAAAAGATCGGGAGGACAGAGTCGGCGGTGGCGTACTCTTTGCCGTAGACTCTTCAATACCATCTGAAGAAGTTAGTCTTCCACACATCGAATCTGCAGAATTCAAATGCATTCGTGTTCAGGTTGGAAGGGGGTTTACTTACTCAGTTCTATGCTATATTCCTCCCCGATCTGACTTATCAGTGTATTCACAACATGTATCTTTACTGAAATCAATTAATTCAATGATTAAACCCTCTGATTCATTGATTGTGTTGGGTGACTTTAATTTACCAAATGTATCATGGAACATCATTGACAATGATATTGTACCTTTCTC